GACAAGGACGACGACGACAATATACGCCCACATGAAAATATGGGCGTATAAAAACGCCCATCCCTGTCCCTAACGACAAAAATCCATGAACCTCTGGAAACCATCTTGTTGGCGGATGAATACCGATGACATCAGAAATTAAAGATACATTATGGGAGATTAGATAACGAACTGGCAGTTCTCACTATAATAGTTAAAAACTAGATAATGTAAAGGCAATTTGCTGTTAATTTCAGTCAAATTGATCCACTCTGAACCGAGAATTTAGCGACTGAATTTTCGGTCTAGCCTCGATCATCATTACCAAAGTAGGTACAATAAAAAACATAGTCTCGATTATCGATTTCATGATTAAATCATAATGAATGTTTAGTAGTAAACCGGTTCCCAATCCAATAAATATCGCAGGCTAACAATGGTATCGAGAGTTGATTATGGCCTGGATAAGTTAATTAATGTCTAATTAATAATTTATATAACATTTCAGGTCTAAAAAAGACCTGCAATAGACAGAATTAGCTCTTGCATAATGTATGTTTAAGCTCTGTCGAGGTATATTGGATATCATTGGCGATGTCATCATGAACTTTTGAACGTGATTGATTTGATTCCAAATGACTTTCCTATCTTTTCTTGTAAAAAATAATACTTTCATTTTGAAATAAATGCTTTATCAACTACCCGAATTGAATATTTTTGTCCTTCTTAAAGATCAAATCAAAAAAATAAAATGTGAAAATGATTTCAGCAATCAAGTAACTGCTTGGACAAGCAAAGGAATTGGATAATAAAAAGTATGAAGAAACACATCCAGATTTCCCATGTTGCCGGTTTTCATACGTCGTAAAGTTGTCTATCCTTTTATAAAACATTCAAAATCTCACTAAATCTATTCCTCATACGCATGTTCCGAATCATTAAATACCGCACGTGCCGTGATTTATTCGACAGGCGGTACTGTTTGGCGCGTATTTGGACATAATTTCCATCATAAGAGATTTGTTTGGCTATGTTCAGGAGCAAAAGAAAAAACCGGTAATGAATGGAGATTATTGAAAGGAAGTCAAGCACTGAAGACTTAGTCTCCCTGGGAATTAAAATGGTTTGGTAATAAAATGATATGTCGAATCTAATTTGAAAGTGCATTGCGTCTGCGATACAGAAAGCGTTAGATTATTTCAAGATGAATCTGCTAATAATGTTAAAGATTTATTTCTGTTTCCATCAATGAATTTCTGCGATACTGTAGCTTAATCGTAAATGGGTTTATGGCCTATTTTTGTGCTCAATCCATCATATTTTAACTTAGAATCAATATGATCAAGTTAGTGTTTTCATAAATCAAATTATTTTTGCATGTTTATCTGTTATCGATAATGATTTATATCTAAGACGTTTTTTGTGTGTTTTTTAAACAGCAGTGTTATTCGTGATCAGGGGCGGATTGGGGCGCCCTCTTTTACTGACCGCGGAGCCCGGATGGGGGGTGGGGAGGGCTCTCCCCCTGGACAATTTTGAAAAATGAACCGCAAATATGCGATTTGGTGGCATTTCTGTTTATAATCTCTGTCATAAATCGATTAATTTAGGCCAAAACCCCGACCTGCAAGTAATTTACAACCATGAACCTGTGAAATTACCATATCATCATATTATTAATTAACATATTATCATTGTATCGTCAAGAGTCAAGAGAATTTAACTGTTTAAAAAATGGGACTAGTTGAGAAAATTTTGACCATTTGAATAACCAGTTAGGAATATTGAATAAGTAGGAATATTTTCATTGGAAGATGTCCCATTTTGTTGCCGGGAGCGCTAGTTGATTCCTCCTGTGATGGAAGGCCACGAGACACATTTGTACAGAGTATCGCATTTGTACAGAGTATCGGCAGACGTTTCTGGCGTATACCCACAAACAGGGTGCAGGTGACTTAATAATTAGTAAATTTGCGGGCGACAGTGTCGAGTGAATCCGATGAAATTTCGGATGAATCCACATTGCAGGATTCCAAATTCCTGCCCACATCCAACACACCTGGTCCAGAAAGTCTATTATACCAGCCCATTCCAGACTCCAGTGATGGCGTGGCGTCCCTTTAAAGCCACCGGCCACATACAACATGACCATCATCGCTCCATGGCCGGTCCAACCCCCCCCCCCCATATAATGTTCAGCAGAATAAGGTTTTTTAGACGAATTGGACAAAATTATTTTTTTCATTTTTTGTCCGACCAGCCCTTCGGGCGATCACCCCCCGATGGTCCAATCCGCCCCTGTTCGTGATTGAGATTGGGAAACAGGCTTAGTATGTGTAAAACTCCTCTCCCTGAAAAGCCTTAGTGGCTGGTATATACATAATGACGCTAAAGCATAAATGTTGGCCATATAATAATTACAGAGAGAGAGAGAGAGAGAGAGAGACCTAGGTCACTCTGAATAACACAGGTCGTTATTTCAATGATTCGCTTGTGCGTTGCGGTCATTAACAGTGGGAGAGAGAGAGGGGAATGGGGTTTAACGTCCACTCGACACAAACTAGGTCATTTCGGGACTAACATATGGTTTAATTTTATTTCAATAATTCGCTTGTGCGTAGCGGGGTTTAGCAGTGGGAGGAAACCGCAGGACCGGATAAAACCCATGAGGTTGGACAGGCGACCCTACTCCTTGTCACGTACATCCGGGGAATCGAAACCACACCAGTTGACTCAATGACAGACTTTATGATATAGCGCGCACACGCTAACCATTTAGCCCCCCCCCCCCTTGATTAACCGTAGGAGGAAACCGGATGACATATCCTACGCTCAAAACGACGTCACTTGACTCAGTGGTAGACATTATGACCTACCCCCCCCCCTCCGCCCCCCCCCCCCCACACACATCTTATTAATTACAAAAGAAAACCATTGCAAAGGGAATTAACATCATTGGAAATGTTTTATCCATGTAAATGCATGCCCGAGAGGATTAGTTGAACCACGCGGTACTTGTAAAACGAAAAACAGCAAACCTTTTAAATAATTGTGCACAATCTTTTCGCTCTTGCAAATACAATTATTTAAAGTAGCCAAGTCTTTAACTCATTAGGCCTATCATCCAAAGTCTTCGACATCCATTGACAGTTGTAATTCGATATAAAAGTAGGCCATAGTTTCGCTGTCCTGGCAAAATTTCCCTCATAGCACACTGTATGGCATATGCCCATCTTCATTAGCCCAGTTCGGAGCAAAACAGTAGGACGTTAAACCCCATTTCATTTCATTTCCAACCTGATGATTTTCCCTTGTCAGCCTGCTCTCTCAATTATTGAACAGCAATCTGGGATATTCATATAATTACAAGGACTGGGCTGTGAACTGACTTTAATAATACTTCTGTGGATACTATCCGATACATCTACATCAGTCTTGATCAGTAGATGTCAATATTCTACAGATTTATCACCCATCAACCGAGACTCAACAATCGTCAAAAGTCAAGGTCAATGAGTCGGCCATCGATTGACCTTCAAACGCCATGTCAATTGTCTCTATATGCTGTGGTATATAAGACCCTACTTACTGCATATCGTATTTACATACTGGACCAGTAGCTTTGGCATCTAAGAATTGTAATCTATACGTCAGATTATATATCACTAATGAAATAAAGAGTAGATGGTTGCGCGTATTCCCCTCGCCAGCCGTGCGTTAAACCCCATCGGGGGTTGGATGGCCGAATGGTTAGCACGTGCGCGTTGTATCATTGAGTCAACTGGCGTGGTTTCGATTCCCCGGTTGTACGTGGCAAGGAATAGTGTCGCCTGTACAATCTCGTGGGTTTTATCCAGGTCCTCCGCCCCCCCCCCCCCCCCGCCACTGCTAAAGACCCCTACGTGCAAGCGAATTACTGAAAAAATAAATTGAACCATGTGTTAGTGCCGAAATGACTTAGTTTGTGTCGAGTGGACGTTAAACCCATTTCTCTCTCTTTCTCTCAGTCAAAGCAGAATAACAGTGGGTTAAACCCCATTTCATTTATTTTCATTTTTTTTTTTCATGTTATTTTCATTTTTGTACATGTTTTACATTGTTTTGCCGTGTACACATATCATATGAACGACAGCTTTCGACTCAATACTGACGATTCTGTATAATACAGCACCTGCTAGTGTTAATGTATATTTAACAGTTTTAATATGTGGTTAAAACTGTAACAAACTGGAGCCACGGCGGCTAAGTGGGTAAGACGCTAGCACGGAGGTCGGGTGTTCGATCTCTGCATTGGCCGAGAAAGTTCATCGGGATTTTTCGACGTGGTTTCCACTTGTCAGAGGTACAGGACGGAGGGCCTGTCTAGTCGTTCGGGTGGTACGAAAAACCGAGGTCCCGTGTTTACATTGGCATACACGTAAAAGATTCCTTGGTAGTTGGAATTCGATATAAGTAGGCCATTGTGGCGATACCCGATCAAAATTTCCCTCATAACATACTGTATGGCGTATGTTCGTCTTCATTAGCCCAGTCGGAGCAGTTTCGATTCCCAGGTTGTACGTGACAAGGAGTAGGGTCGCCTGTCCAACCTCGTGGGTTTTCTCCGGGTCCTCCGGTTTCCTCCCACTGAGGGGGGTTGGATGACCGAATGGTTAGCACATGCGTGCTGTATCATAAGACCTGTCATTGAGTCAACTGGTGTGGTTTCGAATCCCCGGTTGTACGTGACAAGGAGTAGGGTCGCCTGTCCAGCCAGTTGACTCAATGACAGCCCTTATGATACATCTCGCACGTGCTAACCATTCGGCCATCCAACCCCCGCCACGTGATAGAATAGTCTCATGATATTGTCACATAGAATGTAGCGCCATAGCAAGCATGTTTCCTTCTTCACTAACTCTATTCATATTATCTAAGCCTTCCACTTGGCATTTATGTTACAAATAAACCGTACACACTTATTAAGCTTTGCACTTCAAAGTTCAATTCTATTGGTACCAATTAAACAAATTCAAGCTTACCTTCAGATTCAATGGGGCCTGCTATTTATAAATCCAAAAGTTGTTTTTGGTCTCATTCCTGCAAGAAATATAAACTTGGATTATAATAGTTGCCAAGCATTTGAAGTAAGTAAAGGTTAAAGGACAATATTGGTGTCAATCATTATCACATATGTGATAGAACTGGTTAAACACGTTCCAAATATAATTTTAACACAGAGATCATTGCTACGATAGATGCGTAATCAATGTTTCAACAATTGGAAGTGACGAACGCAAAAGGAAAACACGAGTTATCCCTCTATATAACTGACTGAAGTGACGAGTGATAACAGATACATGGGCGAATTTCTGCTCACTAATAATTCCTTCGAAGACTAAAAGTTGTTATATGAGACTGTAAGAGGTTATCCGACAATTTAAAAAAGTAATTGAATGTCATTAGATAAGAGAACACGAAAGAAAAATGGGATAATGACTGACACCAATATTGTCCTTTAATTGTCCAATATGAAACCTTGTCACGATAAACATGTTAACTGATTAATGATGAACGGTCAAGCAGATCTAGATTTCGTTTCTATTTTTATACTTTCGTTGGCCTGAATTACTTGAAGATCTGACCAGTTGTAGTGAAACATTTGATTAACCCACCCGCTTGGTGTTTTAAGTGTTCTACCCACAGGTCCGTGCACCGCACGCCAAGAATTCGCCACAATAGACCGTTTCATTGGCTATAATCCTTCACATCAACCAAAACGCGGGTTAAACAACAACTCTTTCAGATCCTAGTGTAGTGAAGGCAAGTAAAACGAAATTATGAAGTATTAAAAACGAAACGAAATAGGATCCATGTTTTAATCAGATTCGTGAACTGTTCAATATGTAACATTGTCGCTCTAAATATTGTATCTGCTTGACGGTGTCCAGCGTAACACAAAGCACTCATGGACCCGAGAAACTGAAATGAAATGCGGTCGAATGCCGTATGTGTCTGCACCAGCGGAGCTAAGGGGAATTTCCAATTGGAAGTATCAAGTATTCATCCACCTTCACACCCACGTTACACGGGGCCTCGACCTTTAACCCAGTTTTAATGATTAACATTAATCTATGACGCTTACTGAAATGAAATGGGGTTTAACGTCCTACTGTTCTGCTCCGACTGGGATAATGAAGACAGGCATACACCATACAGTGTGCTATGAGGGAAATTTCCCCGGGCAGCGGCCATATGGCCTACTCTTATATAGAATTCCAACTGCCAAGGGATCTTTTACGTGCATGCCAATGTATACACGGGACCTCGGTTTTTCGTTTCATCCGGACGCTTACTGGCGTGAATCATAATAAAACATCAATCAATCGAATCAGGTTCATGTCGCTTTCACTAGTATCAATATAAAGGTCTACATGTATATCGACTTATATCCACTCATGTCTCAAAATATCAATACATAAACATGTACTATGAAGTGCAGTTTGAATATCCGAGTGAATGGTATTGATAAAATGGAGATTGGGTTGCGGAATGGTTTAACGAGTGGGGTTTATATCACAAGGTCTGCCGTTGAGGTCTGTCTAACCTCGTGGGTTTTCTCTGAGTCCTCCGGTTTTCCCCCACTGCTAAAGAGCCCTACCAGCAAGGTCTGTCATGGAGGCCTGTCCAACCTCGTGAGTTTTCTCCGAGTCCTCCGGTTTCCCCCACTGCTAAAGACCCCTATGCACAAGCGAATTATTGAAATAAAATTGAACCATGTGTTAGTTCCGAAATTACCTAGTTTGTGTCGAGTGGACGTTAAATCTAGTGGTTTCGGGGCAAGGAGTAGGGTATTTGGCGTTCCACCGTATGTCTTTCTCTGAACCACTTATTAGACCCGAAATGACCTAGTCTGTGTGATGTGGCCGTTACCCTCTCTCTCTCTCTCTCTCTCTCTCTCTCTCTCAATAAAATGTAAATGCACTTTAACCCCTGAAGACGCACATTAAAGGCAGGCATCAGAATGAAGAAGTGAAGTAGTCTAAACTCAATTTTATTTGTGGTGTCATCACATAACATTTTTAATCTAGAGGTACTGGTAAAAAAAAACAAGGGTCATTGCAGCCCATGCATATCTTAACAAACTATCCATAGAAGCTGTCGGGAGCCATTCGTAGATACCCATTGAATGAATCAGATCACGCACAGTGTATAGCCTAAACTCGATCACAAGATCGGTTGTGTCAAATGAAATCTGCTTTGTTAGAGAGGAGAGAGAGAAATGGGGTTTAACGTCCACTCGACACAAACTAGATTCATTTCGGAACTAACATGTGGTTTAATTTTATTTCAATAATTCGCTTGCGCGTAGGACTCTTTAGCAGTGGGAGAAAACCGGAGGACTCGGAGAAAACCCACGAGGTTTGACAGGCAACCCAAATCCTTGTCACGTACAACCGGGGCAGGAATCGGAACCACGCTAGTTGACTCAATGACAGATAGATCTCATGATACAGAGCGTACACACTAACCATTTGACCATCTAACGTGTCTAAGAGGAGATCAAAGATACAAATCGACCAACGGGGTGATGTTCCGGGCAAAATATCCCTCAAAGCACACTGTAAGGCATATGTCGGTCTTCATTATCTCATAAATGTTGGACGCTAAACCCAGTTTCATATCATTTACTATGGGCAAAATATCCCTCAAAGCACACTGTAAGGCATATGTCGGTCTTCATTATCCCATAAATGTTGGACGTTAAACCAAGTTTCATATCATTTACTATTGAGAGAATCAGAACCAGTGTATAGCCTAACCTCAATCAGATGATTGGCGGTGTCAAATGAAATCCGCTTTGTGTCTAAGAGGGATGTTAAACATACAACACGATCAACAGGGTAATCAGAATAAAGTCAACAAACGTGGTTATTTTAATAAAATATCACAAACAGTTTATAATCGGAATTAGGAGCCACTGTTAGTCTGTACAGGAATTACAATGTTTTCGTCTCGGCTTAACACATACGCCAATTGACAAAACTAGTTGTATGTCAATAAGCTTTCAATGTTTTTCTGATATTGAAATAATAAAAATATTTTCATTAAAATATTTGATCTCCATTTTCATTTTTCAGACAGTATTAAATTTTCCACGACTTAATCCAGGCTATTTGGCTAATATTGGAATAAGAAAAACATTTCCTTAAATTCCTTGATCCTTATTTGTATATTTCTGAGAGTATCCAATTCTTTCATTTCCACGAATTAATCCATTCTAAAATATACTCAAGTGACTTATAGTTTAGAATTCAATAAAGTTGTAAGCAAAAACTAAATATCAACTAAAGATACCTGTACTCAGCGAAAAGCCTGTGGTTTGTATTAGTGTTTAACGTCCGCTGCCATCAAAGGTTTATATCGCAGACAAGTTGCCTTATTTTCATTTTTACTATCTAAGCGCACGCGCGGGGGTCTTTCCCGTGCAAGGAAACCAGTATAAACCCACTAGATTGAGAAGGTGCCTCTATCTCTTAAGTCACGTAAGCTTGCACTATGGATCGAAATCACGACCACAAGTCGAACCCTAGTTTTCAATCACATACCAACGACTAAACGCTGGTCCTTACCAGATCCTATAGCCCTGTCCAACTGGCTATCCTATATACTGGAAAACACCGAAAAACACCGGGAAAACACCGGAAAACTACCGGAAAACACCATGTTATACTGAATACCAGAAAACACCAGAAAAACACTAAATACCGGAAAACACACTAAATACCGGAAACCACCCTAAATAGGTAACCCGGAGAAGGGCTATACTATAAACCGGAAACTAACCCTAACCCTAACCCAGGCACACAGAGGACCAGGCTCCCGGTTTAGGGTGCAAGTCTCCGGGTTACCTATTCAGGATATTTTCCGGTATTTAGTGTGTTTTCCGGTATTTAGTGTTTTCCGGTTGTTTTCCGGTGTTTTCCGGTTGTTTTCCGGTGTTTTCCGGTATTTTCCGGTATATAGTATTGCCGCTGCCGAACTGACAAGGGAAAACCATGTCAGGATAGCGAGTCAGTGTCTTACTGACTCCCTTTAACCTATCAACAATATTATTGTCGTTTAGTTCTCAGCGTGAACATTCCGGTGATAACAGATCACCAATAAAAATCTAACACTAAATATATACCCTCATAAACTCCAACTCAATATGCCAGGTAATTCCAGGTATCAAATATATAATTAGTAATTAATGACACACCTGTATTTATGATACGTCTCTAATTAATCAGGTATATTAATATTGATTGGACATAATTATGGGTAAACAGGTATGCAGTGGAAGCACCAAGATAATTATAGACCAAGACGATACTGAAAACACCGGTTAAATAATTAATACTTATTTACCTAATGATTTTTTTTTATAAATCCAAACTTGATGCACTCCGGACTTTAAAACTGCAATATAAGACACAGCCAGGGTTTCGGGTAGCTATAACGTTAATTGGTTGTTTTTATATACCCAAACTTGATGCACTGCATATTTAACAAATTACAATACAAGTAATTTGAAAATACTTATTCATCTACATGTACGCATCTTATCGTAGCAACGATCTCTGTGTTAAAAAAATATATTTGGAACGTGTTTAATCAGTTCTATTACATTTGTGATAATGGCCGACACCAATATTGTTCTTTAAACAGTCAGGCAACCAAGCAAGCGCATCTCATTAAGTTTTTCATATTTTCACCAATGAAATGAAATGAAATGGGGTTTAACGTCCTAATCCGACTGGGCTAATGAAGACGGGACTACCAATGAAGTAAGTATCACAAATAATAAACATTTGCCTATATTTTTCTGTTAGCTATTAAAAGAAAAGAAAAGAATGTCGTTATTTGTGATATAACTGAGAGAGAGAGAGAGAGAGAGAGAGAGAGATGGGGTTTAACATCCACTCGATACAAACTAGGTCATTTCGGGACTAGACTAACATGGTTCAATTTTATTTCTATAATTCGCTTGCGCGTAGGGATCTTTAGCAGTGGGAGGAAACCGGAGGTCCCGGAGAAAACCCACGAGGTTGCACAGG